GCGCGGTGCGGTGCACGTGCGTGATGCAGCGCATGTCCATGCACCGCGTGTATGGTTAGAAGTCAAGTTGGTAATCGTTTCGGGATATGTCATCTTGTTCTCAGAATTGTTTTCTTCTTTTTCATGTGGTCAGTGCAGTGATGTGCCATGAATCTGAAATTAGTAAATAACCCTTCACCAAAGCTGGAAAACTGAGGTCAAGGTCACAACCTGTGTGGTAAATATGAATCTATGTTTCTCCAAACTGAAGGTGAAGGCCACAGAATGTATGGTGAAACGAGCATTATTTGTCACTGCCATCAAAGCCATAAGAAGTGGTGTGGGTTGCTACTCCAGTACAGCTCACATGACTTGAGTGTTTGATTTCTTGTCTGTTTGATGTCCCGTAGATGCAAAAGATGCAGAAGGTTCAAGCCCAATCCCAGCTTCAGTTCAATCTGTTGCCAGTGAGGGAGGGATAATCCTTACGGGGCACAGTGTTACCAAAAACAGTGATGCTCGAAGCAGTCCCTTGAAGCTTTTACTGCGAACTGACAGCGCCCGTAAGCTGGAACTGGAGGAGTCTGACATTGACAGGTATGAGGATGCAAGAGATGTGGCGGATGATTGGAGTTCGGCGAGTGCAATGAGCCCTCGTGCAAGTTATGACAACTTCGGAGCCCATAGTTATTATGGATCTATGAGAGGAAGCTCCTCAGAGGAGATTTTTCCAGACACACTACTTGAGTCAACAGCTGAGTCGGCCAAGTACCCCAATGTGTCAGCGGAACAAGTTCCCATGGACTCTACAGCAACTAAGAGGTCTGGGCATTCCGAGGACTTATCCAAGCAGCATGGGAGTCAGCAGCAACCTTTGGGGGGAACTTCCGAAATCCTTACTGACACCGATACCGGTTTGGCGATTGCGCCCGTAGTGTCAGTCGATGGCAGCCAAGGATGTCCTCCGATGGGGATGGCGGAGACATCTGGAACAGGTGTTGGATCAGAGACAGTTGCCGGTGCGACGGTCAATCAAGCAGAAGATTTGTCTGGAGACAAGACAAAGCGAAAGGAGAGGAATGTGGGGAAGACAATTACCCAGCTTCTCCGGTTCTCAGGCTTGAGCTTTGTACGAAAACACAGCCAGAGCCAGGACAGACCAGAGCCTGAATCGCAGACTAATGCAGTGGCTGTTTCGAGAGATAAGGATGATAGACTGATGGTCGCGCAAGACGACTCGAAGGTTCTGCATGATTTGCCTGTCAAGCAACAGCACTCGAGAACAGGGTCCTTGGAGGAGAAAAGTCCCTTTGCTGCTACTATAACCAAGCCTCAAGATGTGGATGCTGCCAATTCGACGCAGGAGGATAATGACATAAACATCAGGGAAAGTGTGACTGAGGTTGTTTCTCGTCCCTCCTCTGAAGGTGATTTGGCTCCAGTGTCCTCTCCATCTCCAGATGATGCTGAAAAGAGCAGCAGCACCAGTGATGCTGATCTCGTGGAAGCACCTGTGGGTACAAACGGATTGCCACAGGCGGAGCCCATCGGGAATGCAAATTCTGAGGGCCAAGATTCTTACACTTCGGACACCCAGGTTGCAATACCTTCTTTCAAGCACACCATGGAGGATCAGAAAGTCCTTTCTTCTGTTGTCACAGCGGATGGCACAACGAGCAGCAGCATTCCCCCTGATGGTGAGGCAACACATGCATGTGAGGAGGTCGGGGAGGAGCAAGAAGAGGTGGCCTCCGAGGCAATGCGGAGTCTGCCAACTATACCAGGTTTGCGACAGTTGGTCATTAGCCACCATTCTACCTCTGCTGACGGAAGAGATTCACATCTCGTCCAGGTTGACAAGGCCAACAACTACATGGCTGGAAAGGAGGAGCACCTGGATGATCCTCATCATGCTTTGCCAGACACAAATTCTGCGACACTTGGAACTGCCTCGGAGCAGCAGCAGCTTTCTTATTACCTGCATGATCCTCATCATGCTTTGGCAGACAAAAATTCTGCCACACTTGGAACTGCCTCGGAGCAGCAGCAGCTTTCTTATTCGGTTGACAGTGCTTCTGAGTTGAGTGCTGACGATCTTCTTCCAAGAAGCCTGTACTCAATGTCACGCCAGAGCAGGAAGCAAACGGCAACAGGGATGGAAATGGACTCAGCTGCTCGTCCAGGTGCTGTCTCCGACATTGATAATAAAGGCAACCAGCTATATAAGCCGTCAGGGATGGACAACAAGCGCGCGTCATCCTCAAGGAATGAGGTGCATACCGCGCCCATAGTGGCAATCAGTGAGGCATTAGCAGGTGATACACAAAACATTGAGATGCATGCCTCCTCTTCCCCCATCGCCTCTTCCTCATCCATCTCCTCCTCCTCCTCCTCCTCCTCCTCCTCCTCTTCCTCTACCCTGCGCTCCTCCACCTCCTCCTCGACCTCTTCTATCTCATCTGCCTCGTCCCACTCCTCATCAAGTCAGATCCCTGTGAAAGGCATGGATTCACTGAACCATCCCTTGGTCTCCTCTAGTGACCAGAGGCCATTACAATCCTCAGCGGAGAGCCCAGAGCCTGCTCCTTCTCTTGGCCCGAAAGGGCACCCTCAGATTGCAAACGAGGAACATGGACGATCTATGCTTTCTGGTCATGATGAGGTTGATGCGGAGAAGAAACCAATCACTGGGATAATTGAAGTCGATGGACCGCATGCAGCACTCGGAACCGAGCCAGAACTGGGAATGGCAGAGATCGAAAAGCAGGGGGTTATCTTAACAGCTGCTTCACCACCTCCCTCAAGCAGAGCAGAAGACAGAACAGCATCTGTGGCAGCATCAAGCAAGCAAAGCAATGGCGAACAATCACCTTTGTCTCCCTGGGAAATAGGTGGCAAGCATGAAGTGCTCCGTGCTACCTCCACATCTGTGTTGTCAACAAGCAACATGAAAGAGGACCAACAGCATCCCCAGCAGCAGCAGCTCCAGCATCAGCAGCCCCAGCAGCAGCAGCAGCCGCCGCCGAGAGGTCTCTTTGACCGTCTGTTTGGAAAGAGAGTTGAGAGTGAAAGTCTCTCAGTGACAGAGGTTGTTGAAAATCAGGCTGATAATAATGAGAGCCTTGGAGCCTCTGTTGAGGAGCCAATTTCTCAAGCAGAGGCATCAGAAACAAATAGCACAGTCTCCTCTGCAGAAGTGAATGAGATTGTGAACGAGTTATGCACAGCGTCAGATCAGGAAGATAATATCATCAATGCATTCTTGGTGGCGCAGCAAACTGCAGCTCCTCCCCTTCCGCCCCGGGGTGGAAGTGACCAAAGAAGTGAAACAGCGGAGAGAAAAATATTTGCCGATGTCATGCCTCCTGTGCAGGTGCACACAGTTGACAAGATCCCTGACAAGAAGGAAATCCTCGCAGCAGAAGACGATGGGAAGCAGATCGGATCCAACAAAGGAATAGCATTCCCAGTCCCAGCTTCTCTCCAGGATTTACAGGTGGAAGAACTATTCATGAAGACTGCGAACAGAACAGAATCCGATGATACCGAGCAAGAAAAAACCAGATCTAGGATGGTAGGCAGTCAAACCGTGACGAAGAGCGACGACTCTAAGCAGATTTGTCAGGTTGACCCTCTCCACGCTGTAACCCTGCCTCTGTCTGTCCATGACAATACGGATGTGCCAGCTCCTGCAGGCCAATCTCAGGCGGGGAAGGGAAGCATCACTGTAACTCCTGCTGTGTTGCAGAGGGACACCTCCAAGGAAAGCAGACCCCAGCCCCCGCGAACACACACAGTGGCTTCTGAAGCTGGCAACTCCCTAGCAGACCCTCCTTTGCTTCCTGAAGAACCTAGTCCTCCAGCTAGACAGTCACTGCAGGCCACTGGTGACAGACCAGAGAACTCTCCAGCAATCTCCCTCCCAGATCCTTCCTTACTTCCTGAGGGGCGTATCCTTGCAGCAAGGCAGCCGGTGCAGTCCGCAGGTGACAGAGGAGAGAACTCCCGAGCAACCTCCCTGGCAGACCCTTATGTACTTCCTGAAGGACAACCTGCAGCTAGACAGTCAGCGCAGGCCACAGGAGACAAAGGAGAGAACTCCCCAACAATCTCCGTGGCAGCCCCTTATTTGCTTCCTGAAGGACCTAGCCTTGCCACAAGACAGTCAGTGCAGGCCGCGGGCGACAGAGGAGAGAACAATGCGGCAATCTCCCTGGCAGACCCTTACTCGCTTCCGGATGGATCTAGCCTTGCAGCTAGTCAGCCAGTGCAGGCCACCGATGATAGCGGAGAGAGCTCCCCAGCAACCTCAACGATGCCTTTGTCGCAGAGTTTTAGTACCATGTCAACCGACGAAGGACTGATAAAACATGCAAAAGCTGACCGGGAGAAAGTGTCATATATGCCAGAGTCAACCATTGCTGTTGACGATGCAGATTTGGAACCAGGCTATGACAATTCTGTGGAGTTGGGTTGGCCTTTGCAAGAGGAAGTGGAATCATTGCATTCAAAAATGACACTTCAACCTCATCATGTCGACAGCATTCACTTGGCAAAGTCGTCAGAGAGACAGCTAGAAGGAGCACATATGAATGCTACAGGAGGGGTGCAAGCTCCCGATCTGTTGGCTGCACGAGATGACAGTGCCCTTCAGAAACGATATGAGAGTGGTGCACACAAGGGGGTGTATCTGTCTGCTGGTAGACCTTCTACCAAGTTGTCATTCGATGCAATTGATACCGGTCGCCGGAGCCTCGACTTGTTTCCCAAGACGGAAGGTTCTCCAGTTGTAGGATCTCCGGGCTCTCCAGAATCCTGGTTTGGCTCTCCGGTTGGCGGAAGCAGTGCGAAAATAAAGGTTTTAAAGTATAGTGCATCAATGCCATCAACTAAGAATGTGGCTAAGTCAGAAGAACAGCCTCTGACGGTCTCTGCAGCCCCTGCGTATCGTCAATCATTTGCGATTGAAGATAGGACAGAAGTGGGACCCATAGCTGTGACAGAGGGGGAGTTTGTTGAACTTGCCAAGTCTATGGAGAATGAGGAGGAGGGAAGGAGGGCCATTGAGCTTGACACAAGCTCCACCATCAGGACAGCTGGTGCTAATGATGGGCACAAGGAATCAGATATCTCGGTGTCTCAAAGCTCAAGCATGAGTTTAGATTCTTTAGAATCTTTAGATGGGCAGCAAGAGCGCAAAATGAACGAGGCAGCAGATGGAAGAAGTGGCACCCTCAACAAGGACGAAGACGTGGTGACTGAGAAGGATGTGTCCGGGCATGTGAGAGAAGGAGAGGAAAGCAAGCTCGGAGTGGAGGGTCAGATCAGTGACACAGAACCGACGTCATCCTCCTCTGGCAAAACAGCAGAGGCCATAGCAATCCCACAAGGAGGTCACGGGTCTATAGATTTTGACGATAGCAGCAGTATTGTCAAATCTTCAGCAGAGGTCTCTCCTTCAGCTGCAGGAGCTGCCTCGTCCTCTGCTTCCTCATCTCCACCTTCGTCTCCGTCCTTCTCATTTATTCAAAAAGCAAAGAGCATGGCGGAGTCAGTAATGGAAACAGGATCTGCAGTTGTCGGGCGAGTTGCGGAATCTTTTGCAGGGTTCCATAGGAAACCGGACAGAGCTGAAAGGAGTCTGGATAGTGATACACATGAGGGCGAAAAAACGGACACTGCAGCTCCTGCATCCACAACAGGCGCTGTTGTTTATAAGACGCCTGATGCCCCAGCAGCAGCAGGTGACAGACCTGCAGCAAATCTGGGTATCACAAGTGAAACAAATGAGTCGTCATCTGCTACGCCAAGGAAGGTGCTTGACGGTCAAAAGCGTAATCCAGTACCTGTGCTGAATGAGAAGGTGGGACTCACAAAATCAACGGCAACAGATCCAGGAGCTGATTCGCTGTCCCGGCTGTCGACTGGGACAGGGACCATGGACCTGGACACTTTTGCCAGCAAGCTTGAGAGCTCGAACAAACCTGTTCCGCCCATGGTTCCCAGCAAGAGAACACCTGTTGCACTGGGACCTGAATGGGAAAAGGATCGCTCTAACATGCCACCTGCCCATCCTACATCCACAAAGGCTGAGTCTGGGTTGTCCCAGACCCCTGGGAAAATATCTTCTCCAGGACGATCGTCCTCCACTCAGGACCACCTTGTTCTGCCGACATATCCTGCTTATGTTGAAACAGTGAAGGTCAGTCCGAGGCAAGGTACTGAAACTGCTAGAAAGAGGGACGCGGATACCGTTGGCCTTAGGCGCAGCATTTCTGTATTCAAAGTGAAAAGAAAGACGATCAGGGATCGGATGATGTGTTGCACCAGTCCAAAAGTGAAAGACTGACAGTAAGGTTCTCTGTCAGAGATCGGGTCACCAACCATGTCGGCACAGGCGACTTGAACTCAGCAGGCAATCGCAGAAACCGAAATGCTGGCCACCATTGCGTTTATGTTATGCTATGCTTGCCTTTTGTGCCTGGAGACTCACAAGAGCGCTTCTTTTTGGCCTGGGAAGCCTCGAGTGACTTCATAGCGGTGGTCCCATCTATCATTACTATAGCTAACGGCTTCCCAACAGAACATGCCAACCGTGACAAAAGTCATACTGCGACGTAACTGTGTAGCAGTGGATCTAATGCGAGAAGATGGAGATGATTGTCGATTGATCTTCGGCCGGGATGATTGATTGATCATGCAGTTCAGATGCTCCGCCAAGGTCATTGTATTATTTGCTTCCACCTCACAGCTCTTAAGAGTGTCACAGCCACACAGCTTCTAAGATTGTTGGTTGGATTGGTCTAGCAGCCTCTGTAACCAACTGGCCTAGCTCAGGTGGTACTCCCCTTAACTGTTGAAATACAGACCTGAGTTTGAACTCACCTGAGATTGTTGGTTGCATAGGTCTAGCAGCCTCTAGCTATAACCTACTTTTAAATTGGAGCTGCAGCATAGGCCTGGCTATAACTCCATTAGTCTATTGCCAGGTTAGTCGAAGGAAATGAGACAGGCAGGGAAAAGCACGTTTAGGATACCGCATTCTCACCTATAGTGTCTTCCACTTTTGAGCGATTAGACAGCAATTAGCAAAACCAAGCTGTTGGCATTTGGCTGCTACTGCATTCTGGTTTTTCCCGTAGAGGAGTATAGTCGTGAACAGGGTAATGACTATAGAAAGTTTGGTGTGTATTGCTGCCTGATACCTCAAGTGTCACGAGTTCGGAAACAGATTTTCACCGAGTCTGTGAAAATGCGCTGTTGGACTTGGTAATTTGATATTGACTGATTATAGGAATCCTAAGAGTCAGAGCGCATGAGGGAGGTGGAGCGTTTGAAGCATAAGTTGATAGATATACGGTGTATAGGAGTGCTAAGAGTGGAAGAGGCTGATGAGAGGGGTGGAGCATTTGAGACATAAGCGGATGACATATACAGGTTATAGGAATGCTAAGAGTCCAACGGCATTTGGGATGAGACATAAGTTGGTGAGGTAAGTTGATGAGATATACAGGTATAGGCTGAGAGAGGCGGAGCATTTGATTTGAGACATAAGTTGCTGAGATATACGGGTTTTATTGGTTGGAAAACCATCCGATTCCCACGATACCCTCCCCCTTTTGAAACTGACTACACACTAGGCAGAGTACCAGTTGGACGGACAGCTTCGCCCTCATAACCGGTTTCTCAAGTTGTCATCACACAGTCCCTACATAGGGGTATCATGGAGTCTAACTGACAAGGGTCACCTCACTGGTACCACTGTAGTCCTCTGGGTTCCAAAACTGACAAGGGTAACCTCACTGGTACCACTGTAGTCCCCTCTGGGTTCCAAAACTGACAAGGGTAACCTCACTGGTACCACTGTAGTCCTTTGGGTACCATAACTGACAAGGGTAACCTCACTGGTACCACTGTAGTCCCCTCTGGGTTCCAAAACTGACCACTGTAGCCCTCTCTGGCTTCCAAAGGACAGTGACTGGCATTATCCTAACAAGTTGAAGCCAATGGCTTTGCCATCACGCATGCTGTGCTGCCATATTCCTGCTTGGTTTATGTAGTGATGTCTCTTAGCTCGATCTCGGCCTGATTCCAAAAACTATACAGATGGGGGTGATAAGACATGTGGTGAACATGCCGTCATAGGATGCCATCGGTAAGTATTACTCTGGTCTCCCCTGCAAGGATTCGAACCGGCATGCTCTGGCTCAACCATAGGATGCTGTCCAGGACCTCTACTTCCTAGTCAGAGATCCCCACACTTCCACCAACCACAGTCCCTACCCCCTCCCTTCCGTGGCCCCACTCGGTCCCCTTTCCTTTGGGACACACAGTAGCTGTGCACATGTCACATAAAGCATTCATGATTGACTATCTTCCCCTGACTACCACTACCATAATCAGATGGAATATGAGACCTTAGCAGTTGATAAACCACTCTTCACAATTTCAAAATTCCCGAACTTCTTTTTCCTTTTTTTGTTTTGTCATCCATCATCCTCATGGTGGATGTGAGCTGGGATATATCTATAACCCTAAGCTATCTAATATGTGTTTGCGTTCTGTGATAGCCTTGGCTAGCCAGAGCTGAGGCCAATCGGTGTCACATTGGCACTGGCAGAGGGTGGTCCATGTTACTTGCTTACATGCTTACTGCCATCACCTGCTTTCTTATCTGTAACCCTAAGCATTTTCCTCGCCATGTGGAGTATTAACAGCATGGAAGCCCTTTCAGTGGGGCATGAAGTATCCCCATATCTGCTTACATGACTGTGTGACGTGACGGTGTTGACACTCTTAGAGTGAGGATGATTCTGCTCATGCTGGCAGAATTCTCTGAGGTGAAGTGAGCTGCCGCTTTTCAATCTACGTATGAAAAAGCACACAAAGACATAACTCTCCACTCGTACACACCAGACTGGCATTAGTTGTTCGCCTACCCTTTCCTTCACACGAGCAAGTGTCGAGGGAAAGAAGGTAGAAAATTCTCAGGAAGTGTTGGGCTTTGCTGTGACCAGAATGTCTGTTGTCATCTCTGGTCACTGTGAAGACCTCGAAAAGTTTCTTTAGGCTTATCGTATATCAAGTTTATTTAGACACACTCACAGCACTCATGCAACATGCACAGCCATTCAGGAACAACTTGTCGATTTCGATGCTTGTTACTCCCGTCGACTTCCTTTTGCTCGATTCCAGAATTTCCAGTCGCCCTCTCGAGCTAAATCGGTGTTACGATGTGCAGAACTGATTCAATACTCGCCGCGTAAACGATTGCCTGTTCAGTCGACTTGTGTAGGATATGAGGAGTGTGATGTTTTTGCTTTCGCAAAATCTGCGTAGGCGCGCCGTAGGGTCACTTTCCTTGACATGGATTGTTCACAAGGCACAGCCTGTTACCTGGGTATGTCAACGGGCAACTGTAGAGGGCGGCGCCGATGCTGAAAAAGGAGACAGAGAGTCTACTGGCAGTTTGTGTTCTTCACATGACTGGGGAACATCAATGGTACAGCGATTCTGGCAAGATGAGTGGTCTTTCAAGGCCAGTAGTTCCTCACACACTGTATTTCTAATCCCTGCACAGATGGTACTCGCTCCATGGTTCTTCACAGAGTGCTTCCCCTATGGTACTCGCTCCTTTGGCTTCGTATGGTTCTTCACAGAGTGCTTCCCCTCTGAACCGTGCGTGCAAGATTTCCAAGCACCTGGCTGAGGCTGGCTCCCCATCGAAAAAGGCAAGACTATGACTGTTTCGCTTCCATTGTCACAGGCCTGTGCAATCAATTCTGCACCATCATGCCACTGTGAATATTTGGCTTACTGTGAATTCGAGAGACGGGACAAGAGCACGCTGGAAAAGGGCAACTGCCATTTATGAAGACAGATTTTTGTTGAACTATAGTGTGTTCAATTTTTCCTTGAAGCTTATTGCAAAGGGGAGCAGGTAGGAACTGCATCCTACTGGTCGAGGGACATGAACGACATTAACTTGCAGGAGAGGACGAGTACGCCGGAATGGAACAGTGTACTTGTTGACCGTTGGCTCTAACGCCAGCTCACAACTTTGGCTGAGGAGGAAGGAGGTGGATAGGAGGGATGGAGCTTTTCAGTTCTTTCCCAAACAAAAGTATTAGCAGTGTCCGTACTTTGAAGTGAACTTCACCGGAGCTACTCCCACTTGTTCGAGGCTTAAGAAGGATTCACAGGAACGCATAGCTTGAGAAAGCCGCAGCTACTGCACATAACTAATTGGGAAGAATGAAGTCAAGATCATGTTAAAACATGTGCACATCCAGGCATGGCTATGCTATGATGCACAAGCCAGATGGGGTCGCTGGATATGGATAGAATGCATGAAGTTCTTGACTTGGAGATGTGAGATTGGGATTCGTGTAGATGCTTGAGTTAGGTTTTGACTTCAGTCTCAAAGAGGGAGGTGTTGAAGGGGTTGGGAGAGAGAGAGAGAGAGAC